CCCGATTGGTTTTGCCTACTTATCAAGATCTATTACTCATATAAGTTTGGTGTCTTCATCTTTTACCGTTTCTGAGATATGACTCGGACAAAACTTTTTTGAAAAAAGCGGAAATCGGACATAACTGACGACCGGAAGTGAATTTTGAAAAAATGAAAAAAACGCCTGAGCGTATTTTCATTCTCTATCATCCCTGAAAATTTCAGGAAAATCCGTCCAGCCATCTCTGAGAAATCCGATTTACAAGAAAAGGGGAAAAAAAAAATAATAAAAAGAAACAGTAGAATCACTATAAGGTCTTCCGTCTGAAACGGAAGACCTTAACAATATGTTCCCCAACTTCGTTTGGGGAACATAATAATAAGTTGGTAGCCATAGGGCGAAGAAGGAATGGCATGGTGCATTACTGAGGAAGTACAGAATATATTTTTATTGTAGTTTAGAGTATAAATTTTAGTCAGAGGAGACGTAATCTTGCAGAGAAAATCGCACATGTACTGATGCAGTAATAGCCTAGTGTGTGAACTTCATTTACTATCATCGTGTGCACGTGAATTCATTCATTCACGATTAAATTCGCAATATTATATTAGATATACTTTAATGTTTTATTTCTTTGAATGAATTTACGTGTATTTTCAAATTTATCACAGAAATTAACCAACCAACCAAAACAAAACAAACAGCTAGGCATATTGATTCAGTACAAAATGTACCAAGGCCACGATTCAACAACTTTTAAAACGCATTTTTCTGACTAAGAGATATCAAGAAACAAGTAATACTGGTATTGTTTAAGGCAATTTCTTCAGATATCAGTAATTCTCCAACGGAAACGCGTATTGTCCGAAGCGACTGGATACGATAAATTGTACAAGTTGCTTCGCTTTGACGCAAAAAGAGGCTCAACACGGGGAATCATTTCCTTTAAAAAATGTTTTTCTCTCTATCTTAACTTTTCTGTCTTCCATTACCAGATTTTAAGTTAATTTTCTTAAATATTTCACTCCTTATTTTGCAAGTTTGTAAAAAATACCGAGGAAGGATTATCTATGATTTTTAAATTTCTTTAACTTGGCTGGAGAAAATGTAAGAAGATGGGTCCGGTTTGTAAAACATATCCTTCGACGTCATTAATATTTTAAAGAGTTTTTAACCCCCCCCCCCCAAAAAAAAAAAATAGTCTAAAGTCGGATTAAAAAAAAGAATAGTTTTGTGAAAGGTGTTCATAAATATTCAGCATAATGTTAAGTTTTTTGAACTCCGTTAATAACAAACTTTTCTGCAAAAATCATCTTGAGCAGGATTTCACCTGTTCGTGAATAGAAGGAATATGGTTTCGTTTTGTACTAAGACTTTCAATTATAACATCAAAACGTTCTCTATATTATAAAATTCTTCTACAATTCTTTTTTTTAAGAGAGGGTGGATACCCACAACAGATAACTTAATTATAAATCTCTTTTTTTTTTATTTACAAAATCATAAAACAAATAATTATGAAATGTCTTTAATTTTATATATGTTCTGTTGGACTCGGTTAGGAACGGGATAGCAGAATGTTGTCGATGCGAACGGGAGGGGGGGGGGGCTTCGTAAGTCAGCATACATGTATATGAAGCTACCTCGCTGGCTAAAAATGATTTAATTTATTTTCGAATCCTACGCACCCAAGCTGAATCCGACTATAATTCATAGAATTGTTCATTCTTTTTTTAATTGGTTTAACTGCATTTCCTAATAAAATATTTATTAAGACATTCTCAATACAGTCTATAAGTAATCTATTCTCTTTTTAACATTTAGTTCGTTTGCATTTAATTGAATTGTAAAAGAAAAAAAAAGTTCTGGCACATGGTTTTATATCGTAATTCAACATAGCTTGCGTTTTTCTTTTTCTTTCCCTCAATGCATTTCTAATACTCCAGGTAACAAAGAAATTATAATTGTTGCATGTCTGAAATTCATATTAATATCCCTTCATTTTTTCTGTTGATAAAAATATTTTGTAAACGTTATGTAAAATCACTTTTTCAAATGCATTAGAATAATGCGTTACAAATAAACTATCATCGTCGGAAATCCCCCACGAGTGATCTCGTCTTTACTTATCACCCGGGGATGAGTAAAGATGAGATCATCCTTGGGTATCCGATAATGGTTAACTAAATGCTATAAAGAAAAAAAAAAATGAAAAATCATCCTCCAAAAATAATGCATGCATACTCATCGAGTCGAGAATTTCAGCCAATGTGTATACAATTATGTTTCCCGTGACTTTCCGCTACATGTAACTATAAATCTTATTCTTCTTACATTAAGTGGGGTCTCTCACATACGAAGTTAATTAAAAATGTACGAACAATGCATGATTAATATTTTATTTTACAATGAATTTTAGATTATTTACATCAATTGATTTTTAAAGTAAAATTTTGTACATAATGAGATATTTTGTTGATGAACAAAGAGAGAAATCTTTTTTAACGGTTAAAATAATTTTGAAATTATAGTCCGTCTGATGGAACGTTGAATAAGGTTATCAACTTCATGTATTTTGCATGCAACAGATAAAAATTTCCCGCCGATAATTGCTGAAATCTTGCCGAATCGGCGTTAAGCAAAATTCAATCAATCAATAATTTGTACCTGTATATTTACTTTTTTTTTATTTTTGTACATTATGGATAATAGACACTTGATGAAAAGACGATTAGGTTTTTAATAGGAGGGGGGTGGGGGTGATAATGTAAAGACATAGTGGCTAATTTTTTGTCGAGCTATCCAATTACAACCAAGCGAGAATGATGTGGAGGAAAAGAGGGTGTATATACGTGTATATGAACTAGCTTTTTGAAGGTGAATGTGGCTGCAGTAGAAATGGTTTAGGGGGAAAATCCTAATAAAATGAGCTTACTTTTAGACACAGGGCTAGAATCACACCATGTTTGATTTCACGTGATCACTATGTATATAAAGATGGATGTGAGTTTTTAATTTAACTTAAGAATAATTCTTGTAGCATAAATTAAGTTGTGATTTTATTGGCTGCATGGTTCATGTATTTTCTGTAAGAAACTAGGTATTTATGAGATCGAATTCGAATCCCTGTAAACTTTGACTCGATCTCACTGGTTCTTTTTTTCCTTTACATGGTGACTACGTAAAATCAAACATAGGGTGTTAACTAACTCGCATGCTTTGAGGATACAGGTTTTATCAAACGTAAAAGCAGCATAGTGTAGATCTATATTTTGTTTATTGGAAGTTCAGTTGTTCATAGAGACAAAGCTGTCGGTACGAAAGACAGAAAAGTAGAAATTAAAGATTTTTTTTTTTGGGGGGGGGGGGGGTGAGTATTCGCTTTTTAAAGTATTTAAAATACAGTTAACACAGTTTTTGGGATTGTACATCATGATAATCTGCTTTTGTCATTTATTAAGCAATTCTTTTAACTTAGACATGATGACCGCTTGGATTGCTACGCGTTGACAGGTGCCCTACCGAGCAACGGAGAATAAACCATGACGTCACAATTGAATCGTGAAAAAAAGCACGATATTCTCAGAGTTAATTTTGCAAACATACCCATTTCAAAATGCAATAACTTTGTTATAAATGAAGATATTTTGATTCCGTTTTCAGTTTTTGTAATGGTTTTATGTGGTCCACTAAAAAACACGAAAATCTCAAATTCAATAAATTTTGCCATAAGGTCGATTTCTATCCGACGAGGCTCACATGTTGGTACTTTGTGCTATAGCGTGGTAACGTGCAAAGTCCATGGGACATTGCTTACAACGCACTGGCGTGTTATTCAAAACACTTTATGTAAACAAGCAATGAATTGAGATGAATACTATTTATATCGCAAAAATGTCATTTGCCATTTGTTTCTTCATCATAAGGGAATAATTCTTTTGCACAAATCAAACATTTCTTTTTTTTTTTTTTTTTTTTTTTTTTTTTTTTACAAATATAGGCCCTAATTTCTAACCTCCGCATACATCAGGAAGGTGTGTTATTGCTTTACATCTAGAAGGTAGGACAAATCTGTAAAACGTTAGGCAGTATATGTGACTAAATATTGTATATGTTATAAAAGATAAAAATATGAGAAAAGAGATGCTTCAGTGTTTTTTGTCGTAAGTGCCTTGGTCTTTGTAATTGCCCACATATCCCGAGTCGTCCACCTTATCTACACGGCCGTCTTTGCCCTTGCCCTTTCCTGATTCGTCAAACCTCTCCTTGTGGGACCCAGTGTATTTGGAGGTATCCGTCATACGGTCAACTCCCCCGGTCTTAGAAACGAAGCAGTGATTATAATAACATTTTCAATCACTCGTACTTTACCAAAAACCTAGATAATGTAGAATTGAATATTTTGATAATATTCTGTATGTCTTGAACATTTTAAATCAATCTTCTAGTAATTGCCAGTAGAATACCGTTTGCTTTATTCCTGCACCGGATGTAATAATCTTCTCTGCCAAAAACTTCTCATGTTTTTTGAACTCTTTTGTTTTGGTGGTGACGTCATCATATTGGATGGCGGCTTCCGATATAAACTTCCTGATTTGATCCTTATTGTCAAGACTAATAGACCTATACACAAAATTCTTACAGTGAATTATAAAAAACATATTTTTTAAAATACAGTGTCTGATTCGCGATCTGTATGTCGTCAGAACATTCTACATAAGGCTATATTACAGTTATTACAACCGTCATGAAAAATCAATGATATCTTATAGGACTATTTTTTAGGCCTAATGAAATATTTCTGCAATATGGAATTACTTTGTAGTTTTGTCCATAACTTTTGGGAACACACTAGAGTCTATCCGGGTCTGGAGGGGCTTGGGCCAGCATTCCTTGGCCACCTTTCCCACTGTTTTACTGTCCATCTTGGCTGAGGTCTTTATCTGAGCCGTGGCAAAAGCCTTCAGTTTCTCAGTCAAAGCATCAATATCGTAGTCATCTCCTCCTGACGCCATCTTGTTGGTACAATCTACTATTGTGGGCTAGACTTTTAGTAGGCCTATAATTTGGCTAAGTTATGCATGTAAATTCACAAATTCTTTGTGCGAAATACGTTATGACGTCATATCTACGTCATAGTCCTAGTAAATTATTTTCTCAAGAAATAGATAGAGGATATCTATATTGTGTGATTTGATATTGGCTTTATCCAACGAGTTGAAATGGTGTATATATTCGCGAGGCTTGCCGAGCGAATATACACCATTTCAACGAGTTGGATAAAGCCAATATCAAATCACACAATTATAGATGTTCTATTTATCTCATACGACTTTCGTTTTAACAAAACTTTGAGACTTCCCCTGCGAAACTACATGAATGACTGCCAAAATCAAATTGATGACGTATAGAAACTTGATGACGTAGCACCGTTGATGTTTACATGCGTCGAGAGAAAGTAGATCGAGTTCAAAATTTAGAATATTTGCTATCTGTGTCTTTGAAAACATCATGTGAAAATTGCTGGAGCTTTACATCAAACGAACTTCTGACTGAAAGTTGTTAGAACTATGGGGATCGTGAAAATCAACTCTTTTTACGATGGCAGTACAAATCGTGAGCTAGGCAAGGCTAGATTGTTTGCTGATCCATGGTAAGTTACACCTACATTACTAAGTAGGCATACGTAGTATAATATAAGAAAGCATTGTTAAAGATGTCAAAGGAGTCTTATAACAACAACTTAACTGGTACATGTAGGCTTTACTTTCTCCGAAAACGATCTAAGGGGGGGGGGGGGTTAACATCTGTCTTCAAATAGCCAACGGGTTCCTTGATAAAATAAGACACTTCTTTTAAATCTTGCTTTTAACGGTATTGCTACACTTTATCATTCATTTTATAAGGGCAACAATTTTCACAAATAAAAGTTTCAATAAAATAAAATCTTGAAGCGAGGGTTCGTGTCAAAACCGGAAGTGCTATTGATAAAGCATCTACCCGTTGATAAAGCATAAGTTTATCCAACGGCCTGTATCACCAACACGTATGAGATAAAAGACCATATTTTCATGAACTTATTGCATATATCCAATACATTCATCATGAAATCATTATACACGTACACTAACAACCAGAATATTTAACACTGAATGAAAAATTTAGGCATTAATTGAAAAAAAAAATCTTACGTTGAATTTCACAACTTATAGGCCTATGTTCTAAATGATCACTAACGTTAGGCTATCTATAGGTCTACAAAAATTGCTACTTGAATTTTATTTACCGTTTTTCAAATTTTTTGCTGAGACACAAGTTATTTAAAGTTTGATCTTTTTGAACTCAAACAATTTCTGTATTGAATTTCATAGACACTATTCTTAAGACACCCCCCCCCCCCCAATAAAAAAAAACCCAAAAAATTGATGTATCTAGGAAATACATGGGTCAAACTCATTCATTGGAGTGTTGCTTTATTGAAAATAGGAATTTGTACACTGATATGTTCATGTTATATTTTAAAGTATAGTATTATGCACTGGAAATGATGATATTTATCTATAGGCCTATCTCCTCAAAAACGTCTATATCAATTTGACACTTATTTAAAGAGTTACAAGCTGATAGACATTACTTAACACTTTTTTTTTTCTTTCGATTATTTGCCTACCTTGGGATCATATGCTAGCCAAGGGTCTATGATCCACTACACTCCGAGCTAGCAAAGATAGTATTTTAAGGACTTTTTACATTAGATGATTTATCAAATGTTTCCAAGAAACAGAAATTTTATACTTTAGAAAAATGTCAATTGGGAGATTGGTCGTTCATGTTGGATTGCAACAACTAATGAAATATGAAGATGAAAAACGGTATTCATGCCCAAAAGTCCATTTTAAAACAATACA